AGCAGGAAGGACAGTGAATGCAGAGACTTTTCTGTTCCCCACCCTCTGTTTCCTGAGAGTCTGAACTCTTTAAGACACGAAAAGTCATTTTTATGCATTTCAGCACTCCCTGTTCTCTGTTCCTTGTCACTTACAAACAAATGGTAATTTTTAATGTCAAGGACTCTATTCTGCAAGGTACAAAGTATATCCTGCAATATACAGCTCCCTGTGGAGCTGATAGGAGGTAAAAGTACCCAGTTTCACAGAGGAAGTTTTCAGGATTACCCTTCTGGTTTATTTTCATATCTGAATAATGAATTGTTTGCAGAATCCATACTGGAATTATTTCTCTGCTCTGACATGAGCCTTTGAAATACAAAAGGACTGCTTACTCAATACATCCTGTGGGTCTCTGGCCTCCTTAGGGTGCAAAGCTTCCCACGAGACCTAGTTTGAGATACAAAGACCACTGATATTTAGAGCACTGACTCTTACCAGACATGTAGTTGGAGTTCATGCATGAGCAATAATTTGAGGCCAAAAGCTACGTAGAGTGTGCAGTTTGTAGACTTTCTTGTATTATGGGCACAGTCTGCTGCAATATGCTAAAACATTAAAATGATGCATGGCAGCCCACAGATGTGCATGATACATCACTTCAGGTTAGCTCCACTCTGCTGACAGCTGCAAGAATAAGTTGTGCCCCTGTTATGTGTAAAAAGGCTAGTCCAGATGCCAAAGTCACCCTACCTGTAGCAGGGTAACACTGTAGGCTGACTAGTTCTCCCCAAAAGAAGAGTACTACACATGATAATAACTATACATGACACAGTTTATGTAGCAAGGACCTATATCCTATCACTCGTACATAAAGCTGTGCAAATACAGAAGGAAAAAATGAGTTCCAGAGGATGTGAGGTGCAGGTGAAAATTTACATCCCATCTCTCACCTTTTAAAACCCAAGGGTCAAGACCAATCTCTAACCACCTAAGGTCTCACTATTATCAGTGGAAGAAAGCAGGCCCTAGAGGAACATTCACCCCATCTGTCTTTCTCAGGACAAGATGAAATGCCTCCGGGTAAGGTGATTGTCTCCCTGTTGACTACAGCAGGAGTCTGTATCCCAGCCTACACTAAACATTTAACTGTGAAATGCCTGAAGTTAGCATTAATGAGTCCCTGGGAATCACACCCAGGTGGTTTCCAAACAGTTCTCTGAGGCTGAAGATTGAGGGGAAAGAGGATATTGAATTGTGTCTCTGTGCTCATACATCTACCCTGATCTTTAATGTTACAATCTCACCTGCTGCCTCCAGTGCATAGCAGACATAAGACGGTTCATGCTCCTGCTGGGTGTTATTATAAGCAGATGCCTTTAGCAGTAAAAACATCGGCGCCCTCTCAAAGAGGTAAATGTCCCAAATCCATCAGGAGGAACCTTTTTAGTTATCCTCCTTCTTCAGCAAAGTTGCCTTTCTCAGGACAACTGGGACAGCAAGCTGTCCCCTTCTGTCCCTCTAAAGCCATGCTACAGTTATTCTGATTGAGGGATGCATTTCTGTCCTTTGGAAACTGCAAATCTAATGAATGGAAATGAAAAAACATTTATTAATAGCATCTTAGGGCTGGAAAATGTTAAAGAAAAGAGACGGGTCAAATTTCTAACTCAGGAATATTTTTTCTTTCCTCTCCTCCTGCATCCCCATCCCCTCTTTTTTAATCCTTTCCTTAATTTTCTTCCTTTCTACCTGCTCCCTGTTATGAGAAAAGTTACCCTGCCTCTGTGGACACCGCCGCACCCCCCGAACCCTCAA